ATATGCAGGCAATATCTGACACTGAGCGTGAGAGGCTTTAAACAAACAACTGTTTAACATTCCCATATAAAATGCTTTTTTTAAAAAAAAAAAAAAACAGTTTACAGGAATTGAATGAAAGAACAGCTTTTGTTTCTACACAATGCACCACATGGCTGCTTGGTAATCTTCTTGCCATAGGATACAATAGCACAAGGCAAAAGCTGCAGGTAAATTTAGATGAAGTGTTGGGCTTTTAATTTAGAGAAATAAAAGAAAAAATACCTTCATTCCAAAACAGACAGATTACTACATTCTGTATAAAAAGTGGGCTTGTCTTTTTTTTTAAGACAGACAAACATTTAGTACATCAATCATCCCTCCCCTGTGACATCTCGATGTTATCTTCTTCACTTCTTTTTATTATTATTCTTCCAAAAGTTTCTTCTATTTTGAACTTCATCCAAACCACTATGACAATTCATTCCTATAAGCATATTCTAGTCATCAAATTTTTATACGTAATTATAACATTTGTATCTCTTTTCCAACCAACAATAAAAATAATTCCATATCTTAAAATATTCTGACTCTTCCCTGTCTTTAATCATCAAAGTTAATCTATTCATTTCTGCACAATCTAAATTTTTTTAATACTTCTTCTTCCAAAGGTATTTTCTCTGCTTTCCAGTTTTGAGCATAAACAATTCTTGCAGTTGTTATTACATGTATAATCAGTATACATGTAATAACGTATAAAGTATAGTCTTTTAAGTGCGACAAAAAATTTCTTACTGCAAAACACTAAGATGGATATCACTCTGAAACATGATGTAAAAGGATGCTTTGCTTACCATGCTACTTGTTATGCATGGTGTTCAGACTGCATTTGTTGTTACAGAGTGTTGTTTGTCGAGCATCAGAAACACCACATATCTAGAGACTCTGTTCCACACCTAGATTGTCCAGGGGTCTTGCAAGAATCAAATGGAACACAGTTTCTATTTGAACCTGTATAAATTTAGTAAAGGTTTCAGGCTGCTTAATAGGATAAACATTGCACACATTTCCCCAGAGATAAAAGAATGCTCTCTTCAATTCCTCAAGGCCTTCTGCATCTAGCTTTTTGCTTGCCACAGCAAAGGAATGAGGAATATTTTTTAAATGTCCCTTCTAGTTTCTATTGCACTTTGTCCCTATTAGCTTTGTCTGATAAAGCGAGTAGTAGATCCTACCTGGAAAAAAGGAATGAGAGTGTACATCAGGGGTGTCAAACTCAAGGCCCGGGGGCCAGATACGGCCCAAGGGGTACTTAGATCTGGCCTGCAGAGCTGCTCTGGAAACAGCGAAGGACCGGCCCATGGTGTTTCTGTCAGCGAAAACAGGCTCCCAAGCCCCGTTTTCGACTGCCACGGCAGTCAAAAACAGAGCTTGGGAGCCTGTTTTTGCTGGCAGAGCACTCGGGCCACCATAGGTGCCCCTGACAGGAGTGATGTCAAGTGGGCCACGCCTACCCTGGCCACGCCCATCCCAGCCCTCCAAGGTCAAACACAACCCTGATGCGGCCCTCAATGAAATTGAGGTTGATACCCGTGGTCTACATTGATAACTTTAAGATTAGACTATTGCAGTACATTGTCAGAACTTGCAATTGACCGAAAATATAGTTGCACAAGTGGGTAGATGTTAGTGATAGAAGAGAAGATTTGTAGCTCAGGGTTGAAATGTGGGTCCTTGATGCTTTGTGAGGTTGGTTGTTTTCTTGTAGACATTGTATAACCAAATTAGGTAACATCATCCATGCAACAGGTAGATGTTCCCTGAAGTCTCTTTCATTACTCTCACGCTGAAATAGCTTCACTTGTCTTCTGACTCCAATTTAAGTGTTTTAAAAAAAGCAAGTATCTTGAATTTGGTAAATTATAGTCTGGTTTCTTTGCAAGGACTGAATTCAGTCCTTGTGATTTGTAAACCATCAGTTGTACCAAACTTGTGTGAACGTAGCCAATAATTTATTTATTTATTTGATTTGATTTATATGCCGCCCTATCTCCGTAGGACTCAGGGCGGCTCACAACAATAAAATATCCGAATAAAAGCGTGTTAAAATACATGCTAACCCCCCCAGTCCAGGCTGAACAACCATGACTTTAAGTCGCGGCGGAAGGTGTGGAGGTCAGGGGCCAACCGGAGCCCCAGAGGAAGTTGGTTCCAGATGAAATAATGTATTTCATCAAATCAGGATTAAAAAAAAGACTTAGCACAATGTGTGAATCCAGCTAATGGGACTGACAGCCAAATGCATATGCAAGGGTTTCACTATAATTAAAGTAAGAGGGAAAGTCATTTCCTGCATAGTTGAATTATAGCTTGTACCAGTAGATTTTCTTCCTTTGAAGCCCTTTTGCAAGTTAGTGAATTTCATGCTAAAGGGGTTTGAGCAATAAGAACCTTTCAGAATGTTACATCTTCCTGGAGAAGATAGGCGAAAGAGGAGACTTTCCCATTAATCACGTCTGAGGCAGAAACATTTTTTAAAATTTGAGATTGAGAAGCAGCAGACTGAAGATAGGTCACATCAGGGGAAAAAAAGCTGCTGTAATACCAAGTGTGTGCCTTAAAGATAAGGCTGTTGCTTTCCCTGCTGCTGTTTAATACTTTCACTGGCTGCTGAAAGCTTTGCAAATAGAATGTTTTAAAAAAAGCAATTGTGTTTTTATAAACACTTCGAATATCTGCAGTGGGACCAAAGCAGAGTAGCTGTAAGCTGCTGTTGGGGGAGGCCCACGTTAGCCTATGTTATGAGAGCATAAAATTTTAGTATGGAAGCACCTTTTATGCCTAACACATTTTATTAAAAGAAATTCACTTCATGAGCTACAATTCATTTCAACAGATGCCCAGCAAGGCACAGTGGACAAATGGGACAAACTTTGCCCATAAGGATTAATGGACACAAGCTTGATAGCAGGATTTAAAACAAGGACAAGGTATTTATTGGACTATTTTAAAACCCAGGACACAGTGTGGCAAATCTCAAAGTGGTCATTCTGGGGAAAAAAAGTAAACTTTAACAGCACCAATAACAGGGGTGGGTTTTACTTACCATATTTTTCAGAGTATAAGATGCACCTTTTTCCTCCCTAAAAGGGGGTGAAAATTTAGGTGCGTCTTATACACTGAATGTAGCCCCGCCCACCCACTGGCCCCCACTCTTTGGCCTCTGCCTCGCAGCAGTTACCTCCTTGCAAGCAAACAGCAAGAAAAAACATCTCCTTTCAGCTTCAGCACAGCCTAATTAGCACAAGTTGATTGGATCCGCCTCCCGACTCTCAGCTGATTTGCTCTCAGCTGTTATGCTCAGGGCTCTGCTGCTTGCTGCAAAGAGGTAAATTGCTGGAGCAGATTTTTTTCCCCCTTGTGCTAATCAAGCTATGCTGAAAACAAAAATGAAAGTAAAGCAGGCTGTTTGGTGCAACGAGGCAAAATTGCTCAGAGGCAGAGACAGAGGGAGATTTCTTTTTCTTTTTTTTCTCACCAAAAAAGGTGGGTGCGTCTTATACTCTGAAAAATATGGTACCTTTATTACCAGCTCGCAACGGGAGTGCACGCACGTGCTTCTGCATATGCACAGAAGCTTCTGTGCATGCGCAGATTGTCCATTATGACATCCAGGCGGGTGGGCGGAGCCTCCCACCGCTTTTACTACCTGTTCGCAAGAACCAGACAGAACCGGGAACAACCCACCACTGACCAATAAGCAAGAGATTGCTAAACTCAAATACAGGTAGTCCTCAATTTACAACAGTTCATCCAGTGAGTATTTGAAGTTAAAACGGCACTGAAAAAAGTGACTTATGACTCTTTCACCCTTACGACTGTTGCAGCATCCCTATGGCCACGTGATCAAAATTTAGGTACATGGCAACTGACTTATATTTATGATGGTTGCAATGTCCCAGGATCATGTGATCAGCTTTTGTGACCTTCTGACAAGTAAAGTCAATGGGGAAGCCAGATTCACTTAACAACCAGGTTGCTAATTTAACAACTGCAGTGATTCACTTAACAACTGTGGCAAGAAAGGTCATGAAATGGGGCAAAACTCACTTAAATGTCTCGCTTAGCAATATCAATTTTGGGTTTAATTGTGGTCGAAAGTCAAGGAGTACCTGCATGTCAAAAGGTTTCAGACTATTTCAAAACATTTTAGCAAATACAATGGGGTTTTAACTTGTTATAATTTGTTTCAGACAAGTCACTCTATGCATCTGATGAAGTAAGCGGCATATGGCAAAAGTTTTGCTTTTTAAATAACATTTGTTAGAGGGAAAAGGGTGACTAGACTCCTTGTGATTGTAGGATGCATGGAAAGCCTAAAAACAGAGCAGTGGACTAGAGTGTGAAGCAACCTGGACTACAACTTTCTAATAATCCCTCTTATACTCAGAGATCATGGATTCATGAGAATTATAGTCCTAAATAACTGGAGGGCACCAATGGTGCTGAACTACAATTTAAAAAAAGCACAATTTGGGAATTAATGAAATTATGGTCCTGCAAGAGCAATAAACTGGGGAAAATTGGTATCTTCCCCAGGGCTATATATCATAGGAAGGTATCCACAGAAGGGCCATTTCATGGCTGGAATTATTTATAAGCTTTTCATTGTATTCTATGGTTATGATACTTGCATGTCAGAAAAAAAAATGGTGTGATAAAGCTGACTGTACTTCAAAGTCAGACCAGAATTATATTTTTCTAAATAGAAATTAATGGAATGTTACAAAGGTAATATGCAATGCAATCTTTATTATTTGCCTAATTCATGAATTTCCACAGCGGGAATAACATTTTACTCCATGTTTTCACGAAAAATAGTTTCCTTACTGGAAACATGAATCTAGTGTTCTGGCAGAAGAAAAAACCAAACACACAAAATGTTTATTGTATTATCAATAGTATTAGGCCCGGGGAAAACTCATAAAGCTCATACTATTTTTACTTATTATTCTACTTAGGATACAGCTGGACAAGAAAGGTACAGGACCATCACGACCGCTTATTACAGAGGAGCAATGGGTTTCATCCTGATGTATGATGTTACTTGTGAAGAGTCCTTCAATGCTATACAAGACTGGTAGGGACAGTTCAATGTTATGTCTTTAAAAAAAACACAGTTTTGGTAAAGATAATCATGTCTGAGATCACTTTACACCAGATTTTGTAAGACAGGAAAGGAAATCCATCTGTTTAACAAACTTTTCAATCTAATTTTATGCCCTTTCAATTAATTATTTTCTTTGATTCTGTCAAATGTGTACATTAATAATTTCAGATTTCTAGTCCAATTCCGTCCTCAGAAAGAGCTGCCACAGAATACAATGGGACTTGATTGCAGCAGATAAATATGCGTAGGACAGTTGAATGTCCTCAAAGATGTTCCATTAATGCACATCAGTTTTTTTTTCTTCTCCTGAAACTATTTTGCAGTCCAAATATTCTACTAATGGCATTCACTGTCAACTCAAGTTCATTTCACAATGTCAGTGAATAACATCAGTCCTGCCTAATGTTTATTTATGAGATTTCAGAGCCATTCTAATTATACAGAGAGTGTCTGTATTACCAGAAGCTATACATCATTTTACCATCTGTGTGACAGTGTGTTGTCCAACCTTCAAACACTGCCACAACATTTCTTTGAATATAATTCTGATTCAAAACATTTGGCGGTGGTCCAATATACTTGAATACATTTTAGATTTAGATGGAAAAGTGTGTCTTCCATTAGTCAAAAATCCTGGAACGAATGAACCCCACGAATGAACCTCTAAGATGTATCTAGATGTCGAGTCTTGGTGGCAAAGCATGCTTTTCGGTCTAGACATCTTAAGCTACCAGGAAAGGCCACCTTAAAGTCTCTAAATAAGTAAAATCAGCACTCAGTTCCAAGCAGACAGTTATTCTGCACAGATTGACCTTAATTAAATGGCTGTCAGAATAGACAGGGATAGCATCAAAATATCTGCTTCCAGGAAGTGATCCTTCCCCTCTAGCCGGTCTTCTCAGGATGATCCCAGTAGCTCTAAGCTTATATCTGCTGTTTTTCTTTGCAGAAAAAGCACTGGCCATTTTCATTTGTGGAGAATATTGATGGTACCATGTAGGATCCAAAGCATTTCTGGAAATAAAGATAATACTAGAGACTGAAGTTTACCACTTTCCCATTTTAGAATTGAAAACAAATGTTTTAAAAATTAGAATCATGCAGGGACTATGAAGGATATCTTTGGTCCTATTGGTGTCAGCAGGGTAAAGATACCAACCACAATAAAATGAATGGAATATAGTATTGTTCTTCTTAACCACATCCATATTTTGAAATGAATACTGTGAAATATTGTTTATCTTAGATAACAGCATACAGATGTTTCAGATTTACATATATCTAGGTTTTATTCACTTTGAGCTCAACTTATTTACATATTAATCACATTTATATGGCTGCCCATCTCTCAGAAATGAGTGAAAAACTTACAGCTATTTGAAATGCAAAAATTACCTCTATTTCTACACACATACACATACACACACACACACACACACACACACACACACACACACCCACACCCCTTCATTTCATGGACCAGAAAGGCTTGGGTGGAAGTTGAATGCAATATTGCATCATTCATTAGAGACAAAATCCTCTTAAAATCAATGGGTCTGACTAATGTTCAGTGAAACAATTACCTAATGATGTCCTCCAGGCAGGAGACAGTCATTTTCTTAAGGGGGTTTTAGTTTGCATTTCTTCATGAGTAAGTTGTTGGATTTGATGGCTTAGATAGCTAACCTTTTTGCTGCCGCATGCCAAAAGTGGGGGAAGCATAGGGTGTGTGTGTGCGCACATGCCCACACCCCCCATGCATGCGTGCGTGACCCCCCCCACGTTTCCCACCGCTTTTGGCACACAATGGCACAGTGGGCCAGGTAGGTCCATTTTTCGCCCTCCCCAGGCCCCAGAGGCTTTCTAGGAGCCTGGGGAGGGCAAAAACGGCCTTCCCCAACCCCCAGGAGGCCCTCCAGAGGCAGGAAACAGCGCATTTCCTGACTTCCGGTGGGCCCAGAACGTCCGAAAATCAGTTGGCCAGCGCATGCATGCGTGCTGGAGCTGAGGTAGGGCAATGCTCACGTGCCCACAGATATGGCTCCGCGTGCCACCTGTGGCACGCGTGCCATAGGTTCGCCATCACAGTCTTAGCGGTTCCTTTCCATAGAATTATCATAATATGATTATGAGTAGTCCTGCATAAAATTATACAGAATACTCTCAAATCCATGGCATTCTGTGGAATGTTCATTCATTGTCTTTCTGGTCTTCAGACAGCTATCAGTGTGGTAGGAAGACAATGGCAACCCTAACTCTGGGACGCTACAACACTTCCTAGGCAGCTGACAGCCTTTGTGCTCTTTAAACCACACCTCCCTGCGATAATTAGTTCACGCATCAAGAAGTGGTTTTAATTTATGTCTTTTCATAAAACGAGAAATACATTGCTTCTTGTAGCAAACTTGTACTGTGCCAGTTCGGATCATGTGCCTACTGCCGTCTGAAACGCGGTCAGATTGAGTCAAACATTTCCCATCAGTGAGTTTAACAGCATGGTTCTAGGTCAGTAAAACAGCATGCAATATTATTGGAAGGATCTGTCAGCTTAAACTGCATAATTAAATTCACACGTTTTAGGGCAACATGGGTAACCGCATTTTCATTATGCACGAACTGGGAAAATCACTGTCTATTAAGAGAGTAATTCTCTAAGAGCTCTTTCTTATGGCCATGTTACTGTGCTTTTCCCACCCTTGAGACAGAAGAAATGTATATCGGTATAAGGTACATTGTCTTTACTGTACTGTAGCTGCCAGACTACATTTCTTACACAATTTAATGGGGGATAATTTCAAGGGAGCAACTGTTGGATTCCTTAGCTTCTTTCCTCCCATCTCCACCTCATATCCCAAAGGGAAAACCAACCACGAGTTGTTGGCCTGAATGTGTGTTGAATATGGTTGGGAGCTCAACCTTTAATTTTATTGTTTATTTTCTTAGCCTTGTTCTTCTGAGAGGCATTTTTGATCCTTGCAAGAGAGTGATAATCCTATGAAATGATTTCATAGATGGTGCCATCTTGAGGTTGTCTGAATTCCAACCTTCCTGTTCTGAGAATGATACCACTCCATCACCCCCTACGAAAAGTCTGGCTTAATGATTGGAAGAACTGATTTGAATTAAATGGCAGAAGAAATGAAATCAGAGGGGTCTTGGTGCTTTCGTGCATCTGGATTTTTCATTCCTTTCTTCTCCTCTATGAATTGTTTATGACCATGCAAAGAAACCTTCTCTATTGCACCCCTCCATTCTACATTTGTGTCTCCATCTGTTACATATTTTTCACACTTCATAATATGCACAGCACATACACATATCACATACACATGTCAAATAGCAGTATTGCTAGTAGACAGCTCTATCAATCCTCTGAGAGTTTGTTATTCCAGTGCAAAGAAAAACAAGCCAAGTATTTACCGTCTTTTGTTGACCAAAGTCAAAATGGCCATGAAGGCACTGTGCTGAATGAGTAAATGACAGTGGAATTTTCACTGCAGGCTGTTCTGGCCAACAGGAGTGGGTTATCGCTAGGTCATCCCCAGGCTCATTTCAGAGGCAACCTAGATTGTCTGCAAGAGAACTCTTGGATAGAGAGCAGAAAAGAAGCACCCCTTCCAAACTAGAATTATTAAAAAATGTTTCAAGGCTGCCTCAGGGCTGTGGGTGAGATTGTGGTAATCTGAGTCCCAAAGTCCCACCAATGCTATCTTTTTACAGTTTTGGTTGCCAATACAATTGATGGGTCAGTTTCATCTCACATAAATGGAAGAAACACTGAAACTGTAATGAAGGTCTCAAAATAGGCTAAACATGGTTAAACACATACAGACAGAAACAAACCTCGCTTACTCTATATACTCATTCATATAGAATGAAATATAACATTCTAGGTTGGTGGTCCCCAACCTTTTGGGCACCAAGGATCGGTTCAGGGAAAACAATTTTTCCACGGAAGTGGGGGCAGAGGGTATAGTTTTGTGCTCTACCTAGATCTCGCGTATGTGCAGATGAAGCTTTGGTCGCTTGTGAGGCCGGTTCCTAACTGGCCACGGACTGGTACCGATCTGTAGCCCAGAGGTTGGGGACTCCTGTTCTAGGTTATGCTCCAGCTCCTTGTATATTTTTTGCCAAAATTATGGCTCTTGCCTGTCCTGTATATTAAGTAGAAGGTGGCCCTGTCCTGAGTGTTAAGCAGAATTAGACCCAATGGAATCGGTGGCATTTCAATAAATCATGACTAACTTAAATCCCACTGATTTCATTACATCTTCCCTAAGCATTATTAAATCTTCATCGAACTCATTGGCCTATATATACTAACATCAGTGGGAATGTAATATTCAGGAGCTGAACGCAAGATGAAAAAAATAACCTAATTAAAAAAACTGTAAAGCGAGAAAGTGTCAAGAGCTAAAACATATTCAATGTTAATAGAACAGGCACTTCACAAGTTGCATCACTCTGTGAAAAGTTCAAGGTGTACAGTCAGCTCCAAAGAAGTGCTGAACACCTCATTTCATACCAAAACTAGAAAAATGGGAAGGAATGAGAGAAAAGGCCACGTTTGTTGCTCAGTTTACTCAGGGGAGAAAAACCTGGAGATGCAAAGGAGGTAACTATGGCTTACAGGTTATTTTGTTCTAATTTCCTTTGTTTGATTGATCAATGCCATAAACCCGTGTACACATAATAGACTAATACAAATATCATATGGCAAACAGGCAGAATGCCACTAAGATACTGAAAAGAAGGTAACTGTGCAGAGTAAGGAAGATGACATTGGTAGAGATATGCAGGAACCATTACCTAAGTTGAAGCATTTTTTAAAATCACAACAATAAGATAATATCCAAAGCCAGCTCAGGTAGATTCCTCCCTAATTCAATGAAATATAATGAAGTACAATGAAGTAGATAAGGAAGAGAAACTATTGCTTTTAGAGTGACTATTGTATTGAGCATAGCCATTGAAAAAGGAAAGTGTCTTGTGACAAAAATGTACACTAGCAGTTTAAATTTTGAAAATGTACACTAGCAGTGTTTCCATGTCACTGCCATTTTTGCCTCCCCAACTATATAAAATGGGTTGTTACAAATTAATCTAATGCCTTCCGCCATGCCCTGAAGACCTTTCTTTTTCAGCAAGGTGGGCTGGCTTAACACATTTTTAAATGTTTTTAATAGGTTTGTTATTGTTTTTTAATTATGGGGCCAAACACATATATATCTTTTTAACTGTATTTTAATGTTTGTATTTATGTTTTTACTTTGGCTGTGCACCGCCCTGAGTCCTCCGGGAGAAGGGTGGTATATAAATCTGATAATAAATAAATAAATAAATAAATAAATAAATAAATAAATAAATCTGGAGATACACCCAGTTACCTGAAAGACTTCATTTCCTCTTTAGAAAAGGCCCTGACTATTTTAATTGTGATAAGAGATGCAACTCGTTGTCCCCCATTTTGGAGAGATTAGTAAAGTCAAAGCCCAGAAATGTTTTCCCATGATATGGTTGGCCCATATGGTTGGAATGTGGGGCAGTATGATATAGCTAAGTGTAACCAGTGCACAGGAATGGGATATAATATGCCGGTGAGCTGATCAAATTGGAGAAAGCTTCTGTTTTTTTTTTTCCCAGAAACCTATATAGATTAGACTTTTGTACTGCTAGAGCCAACAAGAAAAAAATTATTATATTCTGCAAACATATAAAATTTAGGCATTTGCAGCATCATATTCTAAACTTTTTAATTTCCCAATAATTTTTGCACTGAAATAAAAGCTAATATGAGACCATAACTAGGAATTTGAATCATGAAATGTCTGCCACAGTACGCCTTAGTATATATTATAATGCATAAGATTTCTCTCTTAGTGTGGAAGGAACCTTAGTTAATATTTAGCCTTCACATTACTTTAACTATCTCTCTGCTGTAGTATGAATATAACATGCAACTGCAAACAGCTGTGAAAAAATCCAAACCTAAATGTGTTATGAAATTGTCTGCAATTTTCAATGACTTCTTCAGAAGCATCACCGAGATCTGTATTTATTCTTAGGTAAGTTTGTATAGGATTGCAGGTGGGAGAATTCACCATCAACATTAGCTACGGTACTAATTACATTTAGAGCTGTTGAAGTGTGAAGCTTAAGAGTTATAATTTCATTACCAATGGGTGCTGAAATTTCAAAAAAAATCCATTGGCTCTTCCTAGATTGGTTATCACTATTCCAGCATTTATTTAAACTAGGCCCTATCAGCAAGGCTAGTGATGAATATTCAGCAAGTGTGCTGAAAAAAAATGCATACATTGACTGGCTGAGAGTGCTTTTATATGACAGGCTCAGTGTGGATTGACCACCAATAACCAAAAAATTGTAGAAATGAATTCTATCATTTTATCATGCATGTGGTAATGAATAAATGAATTATCATACGTTATAATTTTAAATCAGAAATCAAACTCCATCAGCAATATCAAAGACTCAGATTTTGACAATAAATAGGAGATATAAGGAAATATTCCATTAACTTGGGTCTGTTTAATGAAGTAAAAATTGTCCATGGTAAGAGTGCTGGCTAGCTGAATTATATTAGAATTACAGGGCAATGTGGTTTACTTGAATTAATCCATGTTTTCAATCTTCTGGCTCCCCCTGCTGGATTTAAAAGGGGGTGTTTTTGTGTTTTTGCTTTTGTGATAATGTCTTCTAAACTAAGCATTGTTTCATTAGCTTTTCAAGTTCACAATAGTTATTTTCTAAGTATAGAAAAGATAAGGAGTATTGAAGTAAAACATCTTTTAAACCTACTTTTCCCCTTTATTTTTAATATATGCATTATGAAGATAAATGGGATAAATGAAATTCCATATGATGGCATATTTCATCAATATTTGAGTCAGGATTGTTAAGGGAAAGCTTGCAGGCCTGCTAGCTGGAGCTGCACAAGAACTACCTGTATCAGCTTGCAGAATAGCTTGGAAAATAGAGCTCTTCCAATGAACATAGCTTAAGAAACAGTATTCTAGGATAATTTTATAGGCAAATACTAAGGTATTGGCTCACATGAAAAGTAATGGGAATTTCTAGAACGAAATACTTTGTAATAATACTAACAACAATATCTTGGTAACAAAACTGGCTGTTTTTAAGCTGTTGCTGTTGTTTTGAGTTGATGGATTTCTGTAACTACCGTTCACAGCAAATCATATTGTTGTCTTTTTTTTTTTTTACAGGGCCACTCAAATAAAGACGTATTCCTGGGATAATGCACAAGTTATTCTGGTTGGGAATAAGTGTGATATGGAGGATGAAAGAATTATTCCTATTGAAAAAGGAAAACATTTGGCTGATCAGTTGGGTACATGATCAACCTTATCTCTTTTTTTCCCCTCCTCTTCTCCCTTTCTTTCCCCTGATCTATTAGCCACATCTCATCTTTACCAGCTTTTCCAGATATATTATTTATTTTTTATTATCAGAAGACAAATCAGCATTGAAAGAATCTCAAAGCCGTATGTCTGTCATTGTGTCTAAGGTTTTCATTCCTCTGAACATGAAATTTGAGTTAGCAATGTTTTCCAGTTCCAATATTTAACTCAAGGCCTGTAGGAATCCTTTCGCCATTACTTTATTTCACAACATGCCTTCTTCCTGCTTCGCTTTTCCTTTCAGATTAAGCTTTAGACCTACCCTATTCCTCTCCTTGTCCAGTATACTTATTAATGAACTGATGCATTTCATGTGCCATTAACTATACCAGCCTTTCTGCTTATGCTTCTATTCTGACATCTCAGTTTGTATCAAGGTTCAAGTCTTAACCGTTAACTCTAAAAACACTTCTCCTTTCTCTCTCATTATATAACCTCTCATTCAATCCCACTGTGCACTCTGATGTTTAAATTGTATGGAACTAGTTTTTAGTATCTACAGGGTTTTGTTGTTCTTGTTTATTTTAGTCATGGCTCCAGGATCTTAGCCTGATACTTATCACTGTCTTTCTGCTACATTACAACAGATAGATTACAGTGTCACTCAAATAGGTAATCAGTGAAAGCAGACTTGGAATGGAAATACATTGACTCACATAAAAATAAATTCTGGCTTTACACACCCCACTAAACATGAGGTTGCTTAAATACACTATATTTCTTTTTTCATTAAATTTATAGGGCGCCCATCTTCCAATAAGGTGATTTTATTCAAAAAGCACAGTTGAATTTACACAATATCCTACCATTGACTTAACAAGGATAATTTCTAAAACTAAGAACTGAAGGAATACATGAAATATGAGGACAGTTATATCGGAGAAACTGAATGTGCCGTAGAATGCAAAACCAAGGAAGATTAAAGGAAGATCAGGCTTAAAAACATACAGATCAGCTTTGGCTGAATACCTCTGGCAAGATTCAAATCACAAAGCAGGCCTGAGGAATGTCAGCATCCTGGCAATTATCTATAGGCCTAAGATGTTGTCAAACTGTTTCAGATCTTTGAAGAATGTAGAAGCAGAGTAAGAAAAAAGTTAGTCACATATTCATTGTCTCCCCAGACATTTCCTAGAAATCATTTCTCTGATTTACTCTTTGTTGTAAGCCGCCCAGAGTCCCTTGGGAGTTGGGCGGCATAGAAATGCGACAAAATAAATAAATAATAAATAAATAAATAAAGGTGGCTGTGAAATCCTACAATATGTGATTAAATGTTCTAGTTTAACAAAATGTGTAAATTCAAAAATAGCTCTCAGGTCACATTTCAAACATCACAAAGTACAGATCAGTAAGTTTTCAACAAAAGCAATTGCCATTGTGTAATATTTTAGTGAGAATATATGCATTTCCCAGAAGTATGAGGAAGTAAAAGATTGTTAATTATTCGGCTTCCTAAAAAATGTATGGATTAAATATATTGATGTGATTAGAAAGGCTCAAAGGTGCTGTTTCAAAAGGCAACTAGACTGTTTTTCCTTGAAGACATTTTGTTTCTGATCCAAGAAGCAAAGATTCACTTCTTAGATAAGAAGTGAATAAGCTTCTTGGATGACAAGCAAAATGTCTTCAAGAAAAAACAAAGAAAGTCTAGTTGCTTTTGAAAAAGCACCTGTAGGCCTTTCAAAATCACATGAAGATGTATTTAATCCATTTTTAAAAATTTTGCTTCTCCTCCCAGAAGCTTCTTCAGTTTTGAAGATGAAAAGTGAAAAAGCTTCTTGGATGAGAAGCAAAATGTCTTCAAGGAAAAACAAAGAAAGTTCAATTACCTTTTAAAAAAGTATCTTTGGGATAACCATGACCTGGATGATTAAGAGTCTCCATAGATTTGGAAAGGTGTTTCTTATGTTATTAGCAAAACTTCAAACTCATTTTGGTACTGTGAGGATTTTCAGAATACATCTTTATGTTGCACAGAGGTATCTTTATGGACTACTGAGCTTCTTGTGGAAATCCTTGCAGAACCCAAGTAGGCAGAATCTGGAATACATACTACCAGTTGGACCATTAACAGATTAAATGCTTTCAGAAACTTTCTTTTATATGCTGTGGGATAATGACAAACCATCTTACCTTCTCTGAACTTGTGGTGTTATTCTTGTAAGAAACCAGTTGCTTATGAACTGAGCAGAAAATTTAACTCTGTAGTAGTATGAAGTGCAATCCTGGGATAAGCTGATAGCTGATTTGTCTACTTTGTTCCAAAATAAAAACTAGGTTTTGATTACTTTGAAGCCAGTGCCAAGGAGAATATCAACGTGAGACAGGTTTTTGAGCGTCTTGTGGACATCATTTGTGAGAAGATGTCAGAGAGCATGGAATCAGAAGCTTCAAAGGCTACTGCTGGGAAGAATGTGCGGCTCACCTATCAGCCACCCCCACTACAGCAGAAGTGCTCCTGTTAGTGCCTAAAAAATCAGTAGGAATTTTTTCTCTGATGCAGGAATGTTTTCTCATCACTTACTGTCTTTAGAAAGGGATGTGTCTGTGCTGGTGGAGCTACTGTAAGTACATTTGTTCAGTGTCCACAAAAATCCTGTAACATATTCTGCGCCATGAATAAAATAAAAAGTGGCTGTCAGTGCTAGCATTTCATTGAGAACTTATCTTAAGATTTAATATTTTATAGTGTTAACCATTCTGAATTATGTTTGGTGTTTCTAATAATTTTATTAAAAATTGAGCCAGATAACATGAATTCAAAACACTTCTGGATCTGTTCATTAGAAGCCACTGCTAAGATTGAAGTACGGTTAAATAAATAGTAGCATTTAGCTGTAATGAAGATATACTTTGACTGAATGTTGATAAAAGACAGAAGCAAGTAACAGAATTATGAGCACGTGCAGTAATAATTTTAAGATGCTGAATTGCTCCATTTCTTTCATTTCATTTTATTTTTTTGGCAGTCTTTCCAACCCTATTCCACCACTCAGTCCCCAAATACTTCTGATTATTTGATAATAAATCTCACTGAACTCAGTGTTAATTATTAAGAGATGTAAGGAGTCTTGCTATAAATAAGGTTCAATGTTCTCTTCACCATTATCAGAAGAAAACTGTGTTTAATGAAGCTTACTCTGGTAACCTAAATAAAATTATACATAACATTTGCATAAACATATACAGTATTAATTTCATTTCAGCCATTGTATGGAGAGTAAGTATAAAAAATTCAGTAACTGTGATTCTTTTTTTCTCAATTTGGTATTATTACAAAAAGTTTTATTTTCTTGTATATTTATGATATATTACAAGATACTGACTTAAAGTGCTTGTAGTGTATTTGTTCTTCTTGATAGGTTTTTGACAAAATAAAACATTATTTGGTAACTACAGGTTATTTTATTAATTTAAGTTGCTGATAGCACAAAAAATCTATCCAAATAGGAGATTCTTTCAAATGTATGGCTATGTTTCAGAGTAAAATTCTTTTCTAAAGCTGCTAGGTAGAATAAAAAAGGACATTCAGGTAATGTTAAGTATATTACAATTTGTATGTATGAATCATGTTGAATTCTACAGATGGCTACCATGCTAACACCAAAGGATTTGGTACTTATTTTTCAAGTATCACCTATGAAAGATAAATTTGCTAGATCAATCTCAATCCCTGAAGTAAAGAATTTGATTTGTTATAAATACTGCTCTCTATTGATCCAAAAATGATGCTGAAAATTGGGGAAAGTGACAAGGTTTGAGTTTCTGATATGTAAAGATTTCTTGCTGTAGATTAGAACTAGGCAGGGAAAGTATGCCTAGCATAATTTCTAGCATTTGTTGCAGCCCCTTCACCAGTAGCAATAATTTTTTGTGTAAATTGCCTATCAAGTTGCTTATGTCTCTTTGCACTGTTTTGCAGTTTTTTCGAGGTTCTTTCTATTCATCAAATCAGGTCCCATTATCTTTTGAGTTATGCTGGTGATGCAGACAGATACAACCTCAAGCCCCTTTGTGGAGTTTTCCCCAAAGACATGTATTTCTTAATTCGGTATTAACAAAAATCTGGGATTTTCAGTTACAGAAAATAAATACACTGCTTGAAGTGACTTAACTATATTATAGTCAAGAAAAACCTTACTATGAAGCCTAATATAATAAATATAAATATGAAATATTATATTTAATACATTTTAAGTTACCTTTTGCTTCCCCACAAAGCATTCCAGGCAGGTTCTGTAAAAAGTTAGCAGCCAACCTTCTCCTAGAAGAATGAAATATTCTAGGAAATATTAAAAAGGCAGAATATTATACCTCTCTGGATGAGAAAAGGAGAAACATGCTCTTGGAAACCAGCCCCCATTTTTGTTAATAGCCCCAGAAAGACTGGTGCCAACCTATCTACAAGACAAAAGGCTGGGCAACCTAATCTACAAAACAAAAGACCTTCACCCTCAGGACATAATAGGATTAGCCCTCTATCCATCTCACCGCATGGCTCCTGGGAAGATTGCATCACCCAGCAAGGTTCAACCAAGCCTGGGACTCAAGACAGCCTACAAAGTTACCCCTGCATGGCCCCATGGGAGTCTGACAACCAATCAGAATACATGCCCTTGCCACAGGAACAGGAAGCAAGTTCAAAGCCCAAGAGAGGGTATAAATCTCTCTCTCTCTCTCACTCACTCACCCATGTGCTCAATTGCCCAGGACCTCAAACCATGCGGTCCTGCCCACCATTAAACCATCTTTCCAAAACAGCCTCCATCTTTCCAGTGTCTTTCTCCCCACTTGGAACTGAACCCAGATGGTCATTTCTTCCAACAGTTCAAAACACAATAAAGAGAAAATGAAATACAATAAATATCAGCATGAAGGTGTTATAATACAACCGGGTCAGTTGAAAATAAATTTCCATGAAATCAAAGCAATAACTCTATTAACAGTATCCCAGAAGTAAACTCTTGAGTCAGACCCAACTTCTGATAAATTCATGGGCATTTTCATAAAGTTTCCTTCACAAAAGTAGGAAAAGGCTCCTTATTCACTTCTTCTGGGATACTTTTTTATTTCCTGACCTGCAGATTGGGTGGTTTCCCAACTAAGTCATAACCAGAAATCCGCCAAGGTTACAAAAGTACTGCCTCTTAGACTACTCAGGAGTAAATCTCATTACATTCAGTTCTTAGTATAGTAGATATAAAACTGATCATAGGCCAAGTTGGGGGGAAAATTATTTATCACTTTCTTTATATATTGAAAGATTCTAGATTAGATTACAGTCAAGTCTGAACACACCAAGTATCAAGAGTATTCTTATTCGCAAAACAACTCATTTAAATGATGGAGAAAGTTAAATAGTGTTTAAATCCCTTCTACAGTTTTACAATAGGATGGCTGTAACTGATTGCAGGTGATTTAGGTTTACTTAAATATATTTTTTCATAGGTATAAGTTGCAACAGGTTTTAATAAAGGTGGAGAATATCACATCTCTTTTAAAGTAATTATGTTATTAAGACAATTGAGCATTAGGTTCAGATTCCTAAATGTTAACTGCTTAAATCTTTTCAATATGAGTCAGATGATCTGCAAGGAGGGAGGGAGGCAGGATCCTCAGAGATCTGCATCTGAATACAGATAGTCCTTGAGTTGGGACTAAAATTTCTGTTGCTTAAGCAAGATATTTTTTCCCCATTTTACGACTTTTCTTGCCACAGTTGTTAAGTGAATCTATGCAGGTGTTAAATTAGTAACACAATCATTAAATGAATCTGGCTTCCCCACTGACGTTGTCAGGAGGTCGCAAAAGTGATCCCATGACCCCAGGACACTGCAGCCATATAAATATGAGTCAATTGCCAAGCATCTGAGTTTTAATCACATGATCATGGGGATGCTGCAACAATCCCATGAAAAACGGTCATATTGTCACCTTTTTCAGTGCTGTTTTAATTTCAGCTACTAAGCAAACTGTTGTAAGTCAAGGACTATCTGTACAATTAACTGTGTACAGTTAATGAAATTTATGTACATCAATCTTGTATGTAAATAGAAGGCTTTTATCCATTCTCCACTGTCGCACTTCTTTTTCTTTACAACTTTACACTATTTGAGAGGCAACATTGGGTGCTCAGTTGCAGGTGAGATCAGAAAGGTACTTCTTGGCTATCTCATGCTGGGCCCCCTTCCGTCTCTGCCACATCCATTACATCTGCCAACACGCCACTTTTGTCTACAAATACGTTAACTTCTACAGGTAGTCCTTGACTGATGACAATTGAGCCCAGCATTTCTGTTGCTAAGTGAAACATTGATGAAGTGAATTTTGCCCCCTTTTACGGTGGAATTCTTGCCACCGTTGAGTAAATCACCGCATGTTTTTAAATTCGCAACACTGTTAAGGGACTCTGGTTTCCCTATCGACTTTGCTTGTCCAGATGGTCGCAAAAGGGGATCACATGACCCTGGGCACCCCTGCCCAGGGGTGAAATCCAATTTTTTCCCCCTACCATTTCTGTGGGCGTGGCCTGGTGGGCGTGGCAGGGGAAGGATATTGCAAAATCTCCATTCCCACCCCACTCTGGGGACAGCCAGAGATAGTATTTGCCGGTTCTCCGAACTACTCAAAAGTTCCGCTACTGGTTCTCCAGAACCTGTTAGAACCTGGTGGATTTCACCCCTGACCTCGGACACTGCAATCATCATAAGTACGCATCAGTTGCCAAGTGTCTGAATTTTGATCATGTGACCATGGGGCTGCTGCAATGGTCATAAATGTGAACAATGGTCATAAGTCACTTTTTTCAGTGTCACTGTAACCTTGAACGTCACTAAATGAACTGTTGTAAGTCGAAGACTACCTGTACTATACCCAGTATAAGAAACCTAGGAAAAAATTCCTTTCCTAGAGAGTTAGATGGTCTTGCAAATGTGGATGGACCCTTAATTCCCACCAGCCCCAACCAATGAGTGCGGAACGCCGGGAGTCGCTGTTCGACAAACTCAAAATACATCCAAGTTGCTGATCCACTTCGCAGAGTAACCCAAACCGTTTTTCCTTACACCCAATTCTACTGACACGAACAAGAATCCCCGTGTCTTGATCGAACGTCAGGACGGACGTCACACACTTGCACAGAAAAGCAACATTCGATTCTGAGCGGCTCGGCCGCAGCCTGCAGAAAGCTTGCAATGCTTGGCTCCGCTCCGGCCTCCTCCGCCTCTGTGTAACTAATCAGAGAAGCCATTTTCCGAGGAACGTCGGGATTTGTTGGCGGGGATCACGTGGGCAAGAAACCTGGGCTCTGATTGGAGAATAGCCGGTGCGTTCAGCTCTTAGCACCGGCCTGTGATCTTGCAGGCTGGAACGGCCCGGCCGGGTTTTGGGCCCGCGGCGGATGCGGAAAGTGTTAGCCTTTGTATCGCGGGGTTGCTCGGGAGTAAATCCGCTGCGAATAGATCGAGCCTTCCACGGTCGGGATCGTGCCGGCTTGAGAGACCATCTAGCCGGGCCCCGGAAGATCTTCGCCTTCAGGCCCATCGTGCGTCGCTCCTCCGCAGTTATCTTGACAGCCATGCCCGGTAGAACCAAGGCCTCGTCTGCCTGCTGCCCCGAGCAGCCCGAGGACTCGGAGGGCAGCCGTGGGGCCAAGGCCGGCGCTGTCCAGGAAGAAGCCGATGCGGAGAGCGGAGGCGCCGCCGCCGCCGCCGCCGCCTGCGAGCCTAGCCCCAACTTGGGCGACCCCGAGATCGTTAAGTCCCCCAGTGATCCCAAACAGTACAGGTACTCCCGAGATGCTGCATCTGGCTGCCAAACACGGGCGGGTGGGATGGAGTGGAGTGGGTCGGATTGGCAAGTTTTGTTTTTTTTTTTAACCCAGAAGAATTGAACCATACCTTCTCTCACCCACAGCCAACATGGCTTGAGATAGCCATGATAGTCTGGTTTTATTTGGAGAGATCTAGAAGGTGAGAGGCTGATGCTCCTCTGCTGAAGGCCACCCTCACCATTTCATTGCCCTAAAAGAAGTGTGTGTGTGTGTGTGTGGTCAGCACAGTAGTTTCAACACTAGACAAGGAAGGGAGAGGGACAACAAATCATATATTTATATTATATATAAATATATATTATATATTAAATAAATATAAATGTTTATAAAAAAATATGTATATGAAATCTTAATCTGTTCACCGGCCCGAGTCCTTCGGGAGAAGGGTGGTATAGAAATTCAATCAATCAATCAATCAATCAATAATTAATAAATTCAGGGTTGGTCTTTCAGTTACTTGCAGGTTGAAGTATTTAGATCCTTTGTTCAGAGGCAGGTTGCAGATGATGCTCATGTTTTGCTTGTGAGCAATCAAAGCTTGTGAGCTTGAGGACAGGTAG